CCTAAAATTTGTGATTTGTTAAGTTAGATGTTTTTTTAAATGTTCAAGTGCAATGGTTTCGAAAGATGTTTGAAAAATAAAACTCCCTTACAAATATAACGGTTTCATTATATATATTCTTTTTGTTGAACTTTTATATATGATGGAGTTTCTTGAAAAAAATAATTTACATAAATGGATGTTCTTGTTTTTAACTTGAATATAAGATTGAAATGTTATCATTAAGCTAACCTCAGAGAGTAAATAACTAGCATGAAACTCTTCAAGAACGTCTAACTTAATTAGCATGATAACTAAAATACTAGTTGGAACTGATAAATATAGAGCTTTTTAGGAGAAAAAATGATTAAAATGTATATATATTCACAGTATTTATGAGTTTATAGACAAGTGTGAGGATATTAGTCTAATAATTCAAGCAACGTGGGACTAAGGAAAGAAGAACATGAAGACACGTATAAGCATTATTTAACATCCCCTCAAAAACTGCAATTGGGTCTGCCAAAAACAGTTTGTCGAGAAGATCGAAATAGATGTCTTTTAATAGTGTGGGTCTTGGTAAAGAAGTCTACCATCTCAAGATCGATGTCGAAGGCAGAAAATCTCGATCCCTAGTGGTAGATGTCATGGCTTGGTACTCAAATTCAGCACTAGGGCGGAGATTACATCTTGTTTCTTGGTCTGACAATAAATAAGGGAGTCACCTAGAAAGATGCCATGCCCAGTGGTGGATTTGCAAGCCTACACAATCTGCATCACTGCAGGCACTGAGGATGAGTGCCAAGGAGGCTGAGAAGGAGAGTGCTCTTCATGGAGTGTCTCAGGGGCATGCAGTGTAGTACTCGAAGTAGTTTAGAGTGACAAGATGAGTGAGGTGCAATGACGAATTGACTAAGAACATGTACTGTATGTGACGTGTCAAATCTGTTGGAAATTAGAGAGTAGATGAGGAGATAATTTTTACTATATATATATTTCATCAACTAAAAGTGCCTTTATATAGGCTTACAAAACAACTTAATCCCATAAAAATCTAAACTAATTAGCAACAACTCCACTAACAAAATAACAACCTAATAACAAATTTGAATCAGTTATTCAACATTCCCCCTTGATTCAAAATTTCTTGTCATTCCTCTTGAATCTTCATAGAGCATTTCTCTCCACTTTGTGATGCACTTCTCATCTCAATCTTGTTGACGCACATAATCACCAACATTTCTTAAAGGAGCACTTCTCTCAATCTCTCCATGGCGCACATCTCACCATGATTGCTAGAATAAAATTTATTTTTTAAGAGGTATAACGTCACCCGCTAAAGCAGCACAAGCTGGCAGCTTTCTTATAGATTTGAGCAAACCCGTAAGTGGACCTGGAACGACATTGCTGACAGAAAGAGAACCTCGCTCATCAATGATTATGTTGGTATTATGCAAGTCTCCTTCATGAACCCAGAGGTAAGGCTTTCCCCTCCTGAAAATATAGTGCACCTTCGAAGTGTGAATCTCACTCTTGCTGCCTTTGGAGTCGACTTTGATGGTGTTGAGGTGAGCTTGGGAATTTGCACCCAAAATGCTTCTGCATCTCTCGGCGACGGTTAAAGCCGCTGCCTTGCTCTTCATCATCGTCTCCGCCATTGATTTTAGGGCTAGGGTTTTTATCCCCCCTCTCCTCGTTTTTGAAGAGGACATCACCCTATATTTTTTTTTAAATCCTCACAAACCCAAGAAACTTGGAGCTCTGATACCATGTTGGAAATTAGAGAGTAGATGAGGAGATAATTTTTACTATATATTTCATCAACTAAAAGTGCCTTTATATAGGCTTACAAAACAACTTAATCCCATAAAAATCTAAACTAATTAGCAACAACTCCACTAACAAAATAACAACCTAATAACAAATTTGAATCAGTTATTCAACAAAATCTAGTAATAGCAAGGTAAATCAAACTCCCCACTGCTGGAGAGAAATCAGACCCAATCTAGAGTTGGTGGGCCTTAAACAGAATTCAGAACAATTTTAACCCAAAAATATAGCTATTGGGTATTGGCCCCAATTCCTATTTTAAAACTCATCAATTTTTCTTATCATATCTAATGTGGAACTACGTTCACATATTAACATCCTTTAATCTTCTACATGATTTACTAGATTATGCATCTCTTCACTCATGAGACTAATTCTTGCACCACTATATTAGTGGGCTAACCAGACCATGCATTCAACATATGGCTATCAAACATCCCACTAATTATGTCACTCCTATGTCCTAGGAGGATCTTTGGATTCTCCTGACACCTTCGGGTTTCACATTGGAAATCATCTTTTTTTCTTTTTAAATTACTTGGATCGTGACCTTAGCCCT